TAGACAGTTGCCTGTTTTGCCATCATTAGAAGACGCCTAACCCGAGCGATGTTGAAAATTTCCCAAAAATCCTTTGAGAACCTGATTTTTGTCGGCTTTATAATTTTTCTTAATTTTTGATAACCTTTGATTAATCTTTCTAATTTCATAATTTTTTCAAAAACCTTTTACGCTACCAACCTGCAAAGCGCTTCATTGGCTGCACGTTTTCCCACTCGATGTTCCATTAGAAGCAACATTTCTCTATAGGAGGCTCAGTTTTCGAAATAAGCAACGAAAAAGTGAAAATCAGAAAAAATCCAAACTTTGGTCTGAGGTTGGCGACTTATCGAAACTCCCCCACTTTGTGTCTTTTGCCAGCTAACTTTTTGGCTTCAAGCCTTTCAGGAGCAACGTGGTGATAGTTTGCGACTCCAAAATTTTGCTCAAATTTCCAAACTTTTCCCCAAAATTTGGGCTGAACTGCCAAAATCGCCAACAGCGCCCTTACTATTGACTTGAGGCAAAAAATGAATCCCACCTTTTTTGTGCAGCTTGATCTTCTCGATTCACTGGAGCATGCGGCTTTGTTTGAACGATTCGAGTTTGGAAGAAATTTTGATTTTTTTAAAAACCCAATTTTGGTAATTTTTGCGAAACCCCTTCTCGCTAAAAATCTGCAAAGCACTTCATTGGCTGCAGCGTTTCCGGCCCGATGTTCCATCGAAAGCAACATTTTCCGCAGGAGGCGTACTTTTCGAAATAAACAATGAAAAATTGAAAATCTTAGAAAACCCCAAAACTCGGCCTGAAGATGGCCGATCTTCGAAACTCCAACACTGTTGATGACTCAAATCGCTGGCTCTCAACCTCCGAAGATCCGCGAAGTGGTAATTGGCCATTAAAATCATTGGTCAAATTTCGAAAATGTTTTCCAAACATTTTGGCTAAAATGCGAAAATTGCCAACAGCGCCGTTACTATTGACTCTACCACAAAAATGAATACGTATATTTTTGCGCGGTTTGAGCCACTCGATTCACTGCAGGATCCAGAGTTGTTCGCTCGATTTTAGTTTGGAAGATTTTTTGATTTTCTGCAAACCGATATTTTGGTCATTTGTGCAACAACCAGTGGCAACAAAAATGTGCCAAGCACTCCATTGGCTGCCGCTCGTCCGGCCGGATCTTTTGCCAAAAGCAACGTTTTTCGATCGGAAGCTTCGTTTTCAAAAAAACAGTGAAACTTTGAACGTCTGAACAAAATCGGTGGGCTGAAAAAATTTTCGGATTTTTTTTTTTTTTTGAAAAAACTGGTTTTTTTGATCAACGAAAATTCAACACTGGCGGCTTTCCACACTGCCGTCAAAAAATGTGCGCAACATTTGGCAACATCGGGTGTAAACGACAAGTTCCCCATTGAGGCCACTTGGTGCCCACCAAGTCACTTCGGAAAATTCCCAGCCTGTCAATAAACGTCCGAAAAATTTTTGACAGCTGTCACATCATTGACAACATAGTGGGCTTTGCACCACAGCAATCAGTTTTCCTTTGCACGCATTTTGCAGAAAGTTTCACCCATTTTTGGCAGTGTTGCAGTAAGAAGCTTCCAAAAACGCCAAGTTGGACGTTTTTGGAAAAGCCGACGTCAAAAATCCGCTGTTTATGCTGGCTGAGTTCTGATTGGGCCCCAACGTTGCCAGAGCATGCGCGCAACGTTGGGGCGAACGCAACAAACACCAGCGAAGCGAGCGCGAATTTTTCCGGCCCGAAAATGGTGATTGTCTGCTTCAAAGTTTGCGTTTTGGGTTGGTTTTGCTCCAATGAAAAAATCGCCAAAAATCCAGTTTCCCCCGCATCCCTTGCCGAGCTACGGTGTTCGATAGGGAATTTACGGCCCTTTCTGGGGGTGTATGTCCCTAACCTAAAAACGCAACTTGCGTGCTCTCAGCCCAATAAAACCGCAAGCCTTGGGGAGATTCACTCGAGCTCCAATCGTGCCAAGTTTAAAAAATTATTTCGCCAAAACCGCGACAGATGGAGATAAGGGGGTAGCTGTTTTGGACAGAGCGAAGTTGAGGCTATGCTGGGGCAAAGTTTCAGCCTTGCACCATCCTCAGGGCATTTGCAGTGAAAAGTCGTCCAGTCGATCACAAAATGCTCTTTATGTACTCGACTGGTAACAAACGGGGCTTCAATGCGGCTTCCCCAGCAGGCTCTCGCTGCTCTCCTGCTTCGCCGGCTTCTCCCGTGGGGCGGCGTCGATGCCCAGCAGCTCGTCCACCAGGAAGCTCGAGTCGATCTCCTGCAAATCCCCAGCAATTAGCAGCGTGGCGGACTGGGGGGCGGCCCCTACCGGCGGGAGGAAGTCAAAGTTGTTCTCCCCATAGGTGGACACGCGCAGCAGCGTGGTCAAGCTGCGGTGCAGATTGGGCGAAGGTTCCCCTGCAAAGCGACGCTGTAGGGAGGTAGGGAGATTCTCCCAGCCCCCCCAGCACCTACCTATCGACTGCAGCAGATAGACAAAGTCCTCCTTCTCAATGCGGCTCCTCTTGGGATACTCGCCCATCTGGCACATGGTGCCGAAGGCCTCGCGCAGCCGCTCCATCGAGTAGCCGTAGGCGGGCCGATGGTTCACAAACAGCCGCACAAACTCCACGAAGGAGACCTCGTCCCGCACCAGCCCCGTCTCGTCAAAGTCGCGATAGCGAATGTCCATCATCATGGTCTCCAGCTGAAACCCGCCCTCCTCAATTGGCTGCCGCCCCCTCCACTCGAGTCCCCCCACCTCAAAGTGGCTGGGGTAGAATCCGCAGGTGCGCACCAACTCGGGGATCTCGCTCAGCTGGATGGTGTCCGAGACGCGTCTGGGCAGGTCGATGTTCTCCTGCTGCAGGATCTGCATGTAGAAGAACAGGTCCTGGACCTCCTGGAAGAGCCAGCCGCTCTTGCCGCCCTCCAGCAGGCAGTAGAACGGCTCCAGCTCGGTTCCCCCGATCAGGGAGAGCAGCTCAACGGCGCGAGGCCGCACCTCCCACTGCAGCAGGCTGCGGTCCTCCGCCCCGTAGGTGAAGGCGAAGCCCCCGTCGTGGGACAGCGCAAAGTCGCCCACCTGCCCCCCCCAGGAGGCTGTAAGTAAGTCCCCCGCTGCCACTCCAGCCCCAAATACCTGGTGGGGGTGCGCCAGGTACCCGCAGTACTTGAAGGGGTTGCCATCGGCAGGCAACAGCTGCATCCCCAAGTACTTCTCAGTGATGAACACCAGGTAGCGCGCATGGTGCTGGGGCAGCACCTGCCAGAGGACATTGAGGAGTGGTGGGGGGTTGGAACTGGGGAAAACCCACCCTCATTTTGCGCAGATTTGCGTGGTGGAAGCAGCCGAGGGCCGGCCCGAGCACCAGGCTGCGCGGCAGCTTCGTCCCAGCGTGGAGGGTCTTGATCTTGTGCTAAACCGCCTCCCCAGTGAGCGCTGGTTGTCGCCCCCCACCTCCACTCACCTGGTCGTTGGCCAATAGCAGGTAGCCCACGGGGTGGGCGCCGCCCCCCCGCTCGTAGTAGGCGAAGTTGGTGGGGACGGCGCTCTGCTCGATGCGCTCGCGCGAGGAAATTGCGAAAGCAATTTCCGAGCCTCCTCTGCCGCCACAAACGTTAGGGACTGAAAGAACACGGCAACCAACCTCACCTCGCCTCCATGTTGTTGTACTCCACCAGATGCCGGTCGGCCCCAATGGAGAGCAGGGAGGAGCGGCCGCAGGCCGTAGGGAAGAACCCCAGATCGTGGATGGGCTCGTAGTGGGAGCGCACCTTGCCCCTGAACCTCCAGCAGTCCTCCTGCGGGTGGTAGTTGAAGAGGTGCACCGTTCTGTTGGCGTCCTGTAAGGGTGGCTAGAGGAGGAGCCGCCCGGCAGGCAAACGATTCCCCCTACCGAGCAGGCGAACTGCAACGCATCCCCGCTGAACTGCAGATGCTGCACCGCGCAGTCGCTGCAGGCGAACGGCGTGGGGGCCTTGGGGGTGAGAACCACCGGCTCCAGGATCCACACCTCCCCATTGGCCCTGCCGCAGGCCAAATGCAGGGCTGCGCCCCCGGTTAGGAAATAGCTGGGGGGGCTGGCGCCCCTTTTACCTACATTGGGGGGAGAACTTCACGCAGGTGACCGCCGCCCCGCCCTCNGGGAGAAGGGCCCCGGCGATTTGCTCCTTTTTCTCGAAGTCCATCAGGGCGAGCCGGCCATTGGCGTACCCCACCACCAGGCGGGGCCTGCAATCAGCAATTGAATAGGTGGGAAGAGGCAGCAGCCCCCCAGCCTCACAGCTCGTCGTGGGTGTCCAGGGCGCTGATGGGGGCGTCCGCCACCTGGAAAAGCGGAGTGCACGCGCTCCGCAGGAAGTCGTAGGCGTAGATGTTGCAGTCGGCGGTGGCTGGAAATTGAGGCTCTGTTTCTGGGCAGCTGGAGGGGGCTGGGCCCTACCGATGAAAAAATCCCTGACCAAAAAGGGGCGGTTGTGCAGCGTGGCGTCGAACGGGGCTGCGCCGAAGGCGCCAGCCCCTGGGCAACTGGGGAAGTCCAAGCCCCACTCCCCCAGGGACTCTGGGGAGGCGCGCACTTCGTGCCCCCTTGGGCACATGGAGAAGCTCAGGGCAGTGATGGCGCCGATGGAGAGGTTCCGGATCCAGAACAGGATCCGCACGTTCCGGTCGAAGAACATCACGTGCCCCCGCGAGTCGCCCACCACTAGGATGCTGCGCGCGCGTGAGCTTTGAGCGGGGGATCAGAACGTGCCAGAGCCTACCCGTCTGAGCTGCAAATCGTGCCGATCTGAGCCGTGGTCACCTTGATGGCGTTGATGTACATTTTGGCGTTGGTCAGTTCGCCGGCCTCGTAGGTGCGCCCGTAGAGGGTGCTGCGGAACACCAGCACGCACCCTTTGGACGAGCCGACGAAACACTCGTGACAGTTCTGCATGTAGGTGGCGCTGGTGAGCGAGCCCACCTTGGTGCGGCTGGTTATGTGGGGAAGGGCGGCCAGCTGGATCTTCTGGCTGGTTTGGTCCTGCGTTGATTGAGTTGATTGGTTGAGGAGGGTTTCTTCTGGCCCACGACTCACCCATACGATGAGGAAGATTTGCTTCTGGAACACCAGCAGAATGTGCTCTTCGCAGTCCGGGTGGAAGCAGATCTTGACCGGAGGGCCGTTGGTGAGGTTGATCTGAATGCTGCCTGCAAGCAGAAGGAGGTTGAGGAGGGAAGTTTGAGTCTCGGCCCGTAAGGCAGGCGGTGGCGGGGTTAGGGGTGAGTGTAGAGGAACTGTCCGGGGTCAACTCGGGATTTGCGGATTTTTAGCGGGGTTTGGCAACAATGGATTCAATTTTGAATTGCATTTGCTGCCTCTGACTTTCACTTTCACCTCTGGCTGCTGAAAAAGCAGGATCTTCCAAATTCTTTCAATGTTTTGCGAAAAAAGTTGTTGCCAAGTGAAAATTGGCCCGAATTTCCCGTTGTTTTCCCCAAACTTTGACGACAGCCCGAAAATTTGTCAACAGCGCCTTTATTATTGACTTTGCAAAAAAATCGGGTGGCAGCGTTTTTGTGCGGCTTTAAACGCTCTGTGCCGAAGTGGGTTTAGGTTGATKTGGTCGATTTTTGGGGATTTTTGGGAATTTTTTCAAAAGTYAAATTTTTTAAAGTGCATAAAATTGCTTYTAGTGGACATGCAGAAGCTGRACAATTTTTGAAGTACAAAAACGAAACAAAAAAGAGAAAAACATTGTTATYYCGTTTTCGGAAAAATTKTTGGCTTCGACTTTTCTAWACACTGTTAAGTGATAATTTGCGAYTTTAAAATTTTRAACAATTTTCGAAAATTTTTTCGCAAAATTTTGGCTAAAATGCGAAAAGTGGCAATAGCGCCTTTATTATCGATTTTGCAGAAAAAGCGAATACAAMCTATTTATTYAGATTCGTTTGGTCGATTTTGGGTTTGGATATTTTTGAGGATTTGTGGGAATTTTTTTTTCAATTTTTTCAAAAGTTAATTTTTTTAGTTGCATAAAATTGCTTTGAGTGGACGTCCAGAGGTTGAACATTTTTTAAGACCAACATTTATTGGTTGGATGTTTGGTTTCGAAGGAAAAAAATAGTTTTTATCGAGAAACAGGGACTTTTGGCCTGAGGGTGCCCGATTTTCGAAACGTCCTCATTTGGTTTCTGGCGACATTTTTGGCTTCGACTTTTCTAAACCCGGTTTAGTGATAATTTGCGATTTTAAAATTTTAAACAATTTTCAAAAATTTTTTCGCAAAATTTTGGCTAAAATGCGAAAAGTGGCAATAGCGCCTTTATTATCGATTTTGCAGAAAAAGCGAATACAAACTATTTATTTAGATTCGTTTGGTCGATTTTGGGTTTGGATATTTTTGAGGATTTTTGGGAATTTTTTTTGAATTTTTCCAAAAGTAAATTTTTTAAGTTGCCATAAAATTGCTTTGAGTGGGGGTCCAGAAGCTGAACATTTTTTGAAGAACAACATTTTTTGGTTGGATGCGTGGTTTTGGAGAAAAAAATAGTTTTTACCGAGAAACAGAGACTTTTGACCTGAGGGTGGCCGATTTTCGAAACGTCTTCATTTCGGTTTTGGCAAATTTCTTGGCTTCCACACTTCTAAAGACTGTAGTAATAATTGGCGATTTTAAAATTTCAAACAATTTTCGAAAATTTTTTCCTAAAACTTTAGCTAAAATGCGAAAAGTGGCAATAGCGCCTTTATTATTGATTTTGCAGAAAAAGCGAATACAAAATATTTGGTGTGGCAAAAACCGCTCCGTGCTCTGGTCGATTTTGAGTTTGGAAATTTTTGAGGATTTTTGGAATTTTTCTTTTAATTTTTTCAAAAGTTAATTTTTGAAATTTGAAAAAATTGCATTGGGTGAGCGTCAAGAGGCTGAACATTTTTGGTAGAATAAAATATTTTAGTCTGATGCTTGGTTTTGGAGAAAAAAATAGTGTTTATAGAGAAACAGGGACTTTTGGCCTGAGGGTGGCCGTGTTTCGAAACGCCTTCATTTTGTTTTCAACAAAATTTTTGGCATTCAATTCTCCAAAGATCGTCTTGTGATAATTTTCGATTTTGAAATCTCCAAAATTTTTTCGGAAAATTTTGACTGAAATGCGAAAATTGACAATAGCGCCGTTACTATCGACTTCAGCAAAAAAGTGAATACCAACTTTTTTGTGCCGCTTGAACTCCTCTATGGGCTGGACCCAAATTCGTTCGCTCGATATTAGTTTGGAAGAAATTTTGATTTTTTGCAAAACCCAATTTTGGCAATTTTTCCGAAAACCATCCACAACAAAAAAATACCAGGCATGCAGTCAGCTGCTCTTGGTTCGGCCAAATGTTTTACCAAAAGGAACATTTTTCGAAAGAACGCTTCGTTTTCGAGAAAAAAATCAAAATGAAAACATCTAAACAAAATCTATGGCTGGTAAGAAAAAAAAAATTAAAAATCAAATAAAATCCCCAAAATCTGATCAAATCAACCAAAGAATCCACACCTTCCAAACCCCTTTCAGAGCATTTGACGAAAATTTGGCAACATCGGGTCCAAAAGAAAAAGTTTTCCACTGACGCTCGTTCCACCCTGTCTTCCACCACTGATCCACCCTGTCAAAAAACATCGCAAAAATTGTTGACAGCTGTCAAATCCTTGACAACATAGTAGGCCTTGGAAGGAAAAAATTAGTTTTGCTTTGCACCTGCAGGCAGTGATTTTTAGAAGTTTTGTTGAAAGAAGCTGCAAAAATGCCAAGTTTGCATTTTTTTGAAAAGAGCGACGCCAAAAATCAGCATTTTATATTGGGCGAAGGTCAATTGGTGCCCAACGTTGCCAGATTATGGCAGCAGCGTTTGGCGAACACAACGAACCCAAACGAATGGAGTGCGAATTTTACCGGGGGAAAAAAGGTGATTGATTGCTTAGAGGTTTTCGATTTTGGGTGGGTTTGGCTCCAAAGAAAAATTCGCCAAAAATCCAATTTCCTCTGTATCTATGGGGGAATGAGACTGTTCGATAGAGCATTAAAGCCTCTTTGAGGCTGTGTGTGCACCCAGACCAACAACACCAACATGTTTGCACCCAAGCCAATAAACTCACGTGACGTGAAGAGAGTCACTCTACTCACATTCGTGTCAACAACATTCAAAAATTAATTTCTCGAAAACCCAGCCAGATATGAAGTTGGGGTTTGCTGTAGAGGAATGGGGACCACCATTTTTATACTCCAACAAAGTTTCAGCGTTCCACCATCTTCAGGGGATTTGCAGTAAAATATCGGAGCAAATGAAGAATCACAGTGGCCACAAGTGGGTCAACCAAAATTCAAAAATTAATTGCCCGAAAACCGGGCAGCCCACGGATTAGAGCCCTCATGGGTGGCATAGAGAATATTTTTGTGTATGCTCCAGGAACGTTTCAGCAGCCGAGCATCTTCAGGAAATTTTCAATAAAATCCGAAACTATTGGGAAAATCACTATCGCCACACCTTTGCCAACTGATATTCGAAAATTAATTTATCCTAGAGGAAAAAGGAGGAAATTTTGTTTTTGCCGGAGGTGGAATCAGAGCTGGCAGCTTTATGCTGGAGGAAAGTTTCAGCCGTCCACCACCTTCAGGGCATCTGCGCCGAAACATCGTCGTCCGACCATTTGATACTCCGATTTTTTTACATCAACTGCTAACATTTTTCCCTCTAGCTCAATCCCCGAAAGTCCGATTAGTGTGCGGGTTTCAGTGGAATACAGCCCATGAACTTGCGCAACTTTCACGTCATTACAGTCAATTCGATTGGAGGCTCCCAAATGGACCAAAACAGTCTGTCAACACAGCACCGCTCTTCACTACTTTGGGGCCAAGGCCCTTGGCAAAATAATCAGTTTATAAGTAAAATCACCACGCCACTGATGAGAACCGCCTCGAAAGTGACAGTTCTGACGTTTGACAGGTTGTCATAGTATGACGTTTGTGTGGCCTTGGTCGCAGATCTAGTGGGCGAGTTGTGGAAGAAACTGAAAAATTCGACGGTTTCTGATTTGTAATCTAGAGGGCTGCGCCCGCGCGAATGACACTAAAAAATCGCGCCTCCTCCCAAACACTTTCAGTGTTTGGGAGGAGGTCTTCGCCTCAAACGGTTGAAGCCTGCCATTGACAGGGTGCGAAAAAAATCCGGTCAAAGTTTCGGGCTTTGCCATGGAAATTCGTGCGCAGTCGACTGGCTTAAATCTGCATAACTCGGGCAAATCACACGGGAAACGTACGCCAATGGGCTCAAAATTTGCGCAATTAATTGGGCAATAGTTTGGGGGAGACAGTTTTGACCAGTTGGGTTGGTGATGGGGAGGATGGTGGACGCACGGAAGAGACCGGGAAAAAGTGTGTAGTTTGGGGCAAAATCATCGAATCCTGGGGGCTGTGCCCCAAAAATCGCCCAAATTCGGTGGGCGTGGGGCTGGGAACGTCACTCCCACTGCGATTTGCGCATAAAGCCCAACTTTTCTGCGAAAAACCCGAGGTTCTAGAAACCCCCCCGTGCCCACATGGACTCACCGTGCGGCTTCTGGTGCCCCAAAGTCCACAGCCAGAGGCGCGCCTCGTAATACCCGCAACTTTCGCCCACCGTCACCAAGTAGCGGGCGCACGGACTGAGGCTCATCAATAGCACGCCACTGTCCGGATAGACAGCAAACAGCGTGAAAATCGGCTGCCTGGAACGGAGGAAAATCTCCCCAACAGTGCGCCTAAGCCGGGGGAAATTCGCCTACAAATCCCTGCTGGACCACACAATCAGGCAACCATCCTTGTCCCCATCGGCAGTGACCAGCCACTCCCCACTAGCGTCCGAAGAAATCCCATTGATGACCGCTTGCTGGAAGAATTTTTGCACTGATCTGCTCGAGAGGTTGTTGGGGACTCACATGGGCCTCCAGGTGGCGCATCTCTCTTGAGCAGTACCGATACACAATGGCCGAATGGGAGCTGGCGAAGAACAGCTCCTGTCTGCCTTCTGAGCTCAGATTGATCAGGCCGACGGGGCCGCTGATGCCGTAGGCCCACTTCAGGCTCTGTAGGGAACATGTGGGGAAGGCTCAGGCGCCTAGGGAACCCTACGGGGACTTACAAAGGGCTTGAACTTGCGCGCCAAGTGGATGTCGTCGAAGATCTGGGGGATGTTGTGGAGGCCCTCCAGAATCGTGAGTTCTGAGCCGATGGGTTGCACTGAGACATCAGAAGGGGCCAGGGAGAGGGACTCCCTGAAGGAGCCGTCCTCGCCCAGCCCGAACTCGTCCACATTGATCTTCTTGGAGATGTAGAGCAGGTTCTCCTTGTCCTCTCCATAGGAGATGCTTTCGTCTGACATGGTTCTGCCAGTTTTCTGACAGTTTCACCTCAGAAAACCCTGGCAGGTTGTTGGCTTAAGGCTCCCACTCCCCAATGGGAGGAAGCTTCCAGGACTTTTTCTGCAGTTTTGTTGCAGCAAGCTGCAGGGCGTTTGGTTGAAGGTACGTAGGACTAACAAGGTTTGCGTTGCCCTGGGCCTGAGGATGGGCTTGCAGTGACGAAACTGGGTCCAAAGTGTTTTGCAGGCTGATTCAAGCAGCTGACCAATTGAGGCTCTGTGGATGCACAAGGTTTTTGCCAGTTTGTGCGGGAATTGGGTAAACTTTGGTGAAAGTTGCGAGGTTGCTAAGCGTTTCGCTTTGAAATTTTTTTGAGGATTTTTGGCAGTTTTCCTTAGAACTGCTTAAGGTCTAAATAGAGTGTTAGAGTGTTTTCGAAATTGGGCAGCAAAAAATTGTTTTTTGCTGCTGAAACCTACAATTTAAACATTCAGTCTTATGAAGACGGCGAGTTTTTCGGTTCGAAAACTTTTTGAGGATTTTTCGCAATTTTTCGATTCGCGATTCAGTGTTTGCAAAAAGTTTCCTATTAAATGTTTTTTGGCCACTAAAACATACAATTTAAACAGTCAGACTGATGAAGGTGGCGAGTTTTTCGATTTAAATATTTTTTTGCGGATTTTTTGCGATTTTTCTTCAAACCACACACGACCTAAATAGCGTTTTACAATGTTTTCAAAATTTTGCAGCAAAAAAATTCCTAAAAACATTTTTTTGCCACTCAAACTTGGAATTTAAACATTCAGGCTGATGAAGGTGACGAGTTTATCGATTTAAATATTTTTTTGAGGATTTTTCGCAATTTTTATTCCAACCACACACGAT